TCCTGCTGACTTTGCACGCCAAGGAATGCTACTAGAGATTGTTTTTTGTCTTCCTGTTTTTTGTTTTTGTTTTTGTTTTAAGTATTTGGTACTTTTCTGGAAAGGTGTAAATACTTCTTTTTCATATTGTGACCAAGTGTTATCACTCAGCCAACTTATCCACACCTGGGGACTAGCAGCTGTTCTTACTTTCCAAATGAGGCTTAAAAGAAAGCTATCTTTCTTCCCTTTTTAAATGTGGAAACTACAAATTATAATATAATTTGAAATTATGATTATTTTTCAAAAATCTTTTAAACCTGTGGAAACATTCATTCTTTTGTTGATACTTATCTACTGTGATAGCATCATCCCAGCCAGACTTGATGAAAATCTACTTGGTGAGGCAAATATAATTTATATATTTATAAAATTTCTAGTGGGAGTTCTATATAAAAAGGATGTTATTTTGATTTTCTTCAGCCTGTGTTTTAAAGTTTTACAAAAGCAGAGCTTTTTCCTAAGTTACTTTTTAGTTAACTATGTGATCCAGTTCTTCCAGCTGCTTCTATAATGAGGCACATATTAATACAGTTTTTACATGGTATCTATGAAAGAGTTTACTTCATAGAGCATAATACTTGAGCAAATGTATCCAAGACAGAAAGCAAATGAAAAGGAAACTATTTATGGAATAAACTCCAGGCCTAAAACTCAGTATTTTAGTAAAATGCCAGCTGTTCTTACTGTATTTATTAAAACTTGTAATAATGTGATTTTTCAAGGATATTAGTTCAAATTGAAATGTTTCATGCCACATGGAATTCTTTAATTTATTTGTTGAGGTACCATATATTTAGGGTGCTAGATGGCAGAAAATGTTAATATGTGCAATAGGAACTACTGGTTTGAATGTGTAAATGGATGCTCTTTCTGAGCACTGGCAACATCCAGCAAAACTACTGCTTATTCTCCAAAGACTATTGGGAGCTCTCAATCCTCAATGACATGGGAAAGAGAACTGACTATTTGCCCTGCGACTGAGTTTTCTATAGGAATTTTATTAAAGATTGTTTAATTTTGTTGTCTTCCTTAATGTTCTCAGTCAAATAAATGGGTGAGCTGGTTTTGGCTGCTCTTGGGATGTGTGGGCCTCTTCTTTATGGGCAGCACAGGACCTTGGCACTGGGACTCTTTAAGAAATGGTCAAGTCAATAGACAGACCAACCTCAGGGTAAGCTAAGGCTCATGGTCTCTTCCTTGACTTCTCTCCTTGTTTCCCAACCCCATCAAGCAGTATGGGAGGCCTTTTGGACTTTGGCTGGGAGCCTGAGGCAAGAGGGTGAGTTTCCATGCCTTTGGGAGGTATCCCAAAGTTTCCATGCCTTTGGGAGGTATCCTGAGGTCTGGAAGAATGTCCCTTCAGTTACTCGGTACCCAAGGCCAGACTAGCCACTTTGTAGCTCTCTTCCATTGGGCAGGTGCTCAGAGCACAGTTTCTTGGAAATAACTCAGCTGATGGTGGGGATTGAACTCTGAACTGACCATTCCCAGGGCTGCTCTAGACTTGGTGAGAGTTGCAGAAATAGGACTGTAGGAGGACAGGTTTGTTCAGGGATCTTTGTCTGATAGCAGTCCACCATTACATGTACCAGGTTACGGGTCAGGGGTTTGGAGAGTGGTGAGCATTGCCAGGCAGAAGTGGGCACCATTGTTTCCAGAGGGGTCTCCTCAGCCCATATGTTCCTTGGTAAATATATGCTAAATCGGTGAATGTGAATGTCTTTAAGAGTAAGAAAGGGAAACAAACCTCCCCAGACAGTGCTGGACCTGAGGCCAGCATGGCTCTTAACCACCTCTGCCGTAGACCCCCAAAGATAGCATGATAGCCCTCAGTAGCTGCTGAGCACTCCTACCAGGTGCTCCCTACACACTTGCTGACTTGCATGTCCCTGATTCTCAGGGGCTCTGCCTGAGCCAGACAGTTGGAGGTGGAAGGCAGAGGATAGCCAACCAACAGAGCAGATTAGGGGTCTGGGCTGTAGGAATAGTTCCTTGCCTGGGGACTGGTTACCCAATGCCTTGGCTCCCTGTCTTTTGGTTATTTCCCAAAACAAGATTTTGGAAGCTCTATACATTTCCATACTTGAGGACAGCATCTGTGTCTACCCTGGACTCGGAAGACAAAGGATGACTTTGTTGAACAAGTAATTCCTGAGTATTCTTCTCATGTCTATATTCAGGACCCTGGGCTGCAGAAGCTAGTATTTGCCATCCAGCTCTGCCTCTCTGACCTTGGAGTAAGGTATTTATTTTCTTTCTCAGGATCTGAGCTTCCTATTTGTAAAGTGGGATTGGTAATAATTGCCCTACTCACTTCTGTAGGAGAGGCTAGTTTAAGACTGTGATTGGAACGTGTGCTGAGTCCCAACTCAGAGGCAATCTCATTTCTTTCCCTGCTTCCCCCTCCTGAAGGGAGGAATCTCAGGGAAGGGAAACCCCTTCCAGAGCTCTATGCTTGTCTCCTGTCTTCCAGTGCATTCTTAGCTCTACCTCGTGCAGCCCATATCCCTGACTGTCAGCACCAGATCTTAGCCAGGCAGCCTGTAATGCAGGATTCACTTGTCTGCAGAAGGTGAAAGATTGGTCCATGATGTGGAAAGCAGAGAGGTACCATGCTGTGTGACCCTGACTATAGGGGACAAGCAGCTCTTAGGAGGGAGGAAGCAGGGGCTGTGGTTTCCTGGAGAAGTGGGCCTCTGAGCTGAGTCTTGAAGGACAGATAGGAGCTAGGTGAACAGGTAATGGGAAGAGCATATTAGGCAGGAAGGTACAGCATATATAAAGCATGATTCGTGGGCATTAACAGGATCAGCAATTGCTTATTTCTTCTGCCTCTTCCCCTTCCTCCACATCAGAATGCTGCATCTCTTCCCAGGTAGGATCTAAACACCAGTCATGTCATCCTGGAGCCTCTTCCTCTTTCAGTAGCAGTAGCAGTTTTGTCCCCTTTTCCAATGATGGAAAAACTGTCTGTCTGACAACACTTTCTGGGTTATTCCTACATGAAAATGTATAACTAATAGATTTTTGGAACTCTTGATACCTTCCTACTTTTAGCAAAGCCCAGTTTTAACACTTAGAGGTCTGGCTTTTCGGATCTTCTCCACCTTCTTCTCTTCTACCTTTTTTTATTGTGGAAAAAGGCACATACAGAAAAGTGCATAAAACAATAACATAAATAATATTAGCATATTATAGAGCAAACATCCAGGTAACCACCACACAGGTCGAGAAAGAACATTGACAACACCTCAGAACCCTACAAATTCCCCTTCCTGGTGAAGACTCCCTCTCTGCCAAGGTAATCACCACTTCTTCATTTATGGCAATCATCAGGATTCTTCCCCTCAACATCATGTTTTTAAGATTCAGCCATTTAGTTGCATGTATCTCCAGTACATTCTTTATCATCACTGTACAGTATTCCATGTTATGGATACCCTATAATTTACATATCCTTTCTACTGTTGGGACACATACAGGTTGATTCTAGTTTGAGGCTATTACAAATGATGCTGCTGTGATAATTATAATTTATCTCCTGTTTCACATATGTCCATATTTCTTTGGATGTATATACTTAAGATTAAAATTGATGGGTCATAGAATTATGTAATCTTTGTTTTTACCAAGTAATGCTAAAACGAGTAGTTGTACCAATTTATTTTTTCCTGGTACTTAATTCTTGTTGCCAACACTCTCGCCAACACCTGGTTAACCAACATTTAAAAAATTTTAGCCGTTCTGGTGTTTATAGTGAGCTAATTTGCATTTCCCTGATTGATTAGTAATGACATTGAATTGCTTTTTCATGTTTGTTTTTGGCCATTTGGATTTTCTGCTTTGTGAAATGCCTTCTTAAGTCCTTTATCCATTTATTAATTTGGTTACCTGTCATTTTGGTTTTTTGTTTTACGGAAGGATTTTTTAATTTTGCTTTTTGGTTTTTGTTATGTGAAATTCTGTATATACTTTGTCTACAAGCCTTATCTTCTAATAACACAAGATCTTAATTTTTTTTTTTTTTTTTTTTTTAAAGATTTTT